TTAATGTTTTGTGTTTTGTTTTAATACCATTGCCACTTAAGAGCCACCGAGGTGGTTTTTGAAACAAAATATTCCGACAAGCATAGTTTGATTGCGAAAATGGTGTTTCCATGTGATGGAAACATTAAAATATTTTTGCATACGTGGCGGAATCTGAAATGGCAGAATGCATTTCATGGCGCCCATTTCATTTGGATCGCGTCGGGAATGCGTACCGACGCACAGTAGAACGCGCGCAAAAGTAGCTGTGGTGCACCCGCAGCCTCGCGCTTGTGTTTCTGACATCTTTGGCTCGCTCACTGCGGGCATCCAGGCCTCCGACACCGTGACATCTGGCAATTTTTCTGTCTTTCACGTGGCGTTCCAAGTGGCACACGACGGAAGATGCACATCAAGCTGTTCTTGAACACGTGTCGCCATCTGTACTTTATATTAAGAAACTACAATTCTTCGTAACTGAATGGGAAAAGTTTGAGGTCTTATAACATTTTAACGTGTAATATGTCAATATGAAAGTTCTGGAAAATATAATATTGAAAGATGCTTCATAATTTAATGTCTCGTTTTTTTTTATTAGTTAACGTGATTCCGTTGTTATAGCGCCTTAAAATGATGCCATTTTAAACTTTATTTTTTATTTTAAAATATACACTATCGGTACAGCAAGTTGCTTACTTTTTTTAATTTATTACATGCAACCAAACTTTTACGTAAATTATCCTGGACAATGGGACGTTATAACTCGAGAAATAATTTTTTCTACATTAGAGACTGCGGTCTATTAAAAGATAAATTATTAACAAAAATCTAAAAGTAATCGTAATTTTGAGGCATTAAAGGATTGTCGAAAAACAGCTCTTTAATTTGACATTAACTTTATATTTGTAAGTTACATAGAACGAAAGTTATAAGCCGTCAAAAAAGCACCAAAACGTCCTGCACGGTGGGGTTGCACCTTAAGGCTTGTCGCTGTCGGCTTTCTCTTTGTCGTTCTCTTGGGACTCGGGTATGAGCACTGGCCGAAAGTGAAGGGGTAGAGAGGAAAGCAACGGATGCGAGGATGATGACGATGATGATGATGATGATGATGGTGATTTTATGGCTGTTCCCTTTGAAGCGGGCGGTTTGAATAGAAATGCATGATTCTCCTGGGGCTTTGAATAAAGCCCCAGGAGAATCATGTAACGGGCGCCACGCTGCGGCGAGACGCCGAAACACACTATACTTTTTTTTCTGCTGTTGGCGAGGGTATACATGGAACGCCACCCTTTCCCCGTTCCTCCGTTTCGGTTTCGTCTGTTTCGTTTGCGTTCAAAATCGTGTGGCAAACTGCCGTAGCTGATGGATTACAGATTACAGATGTTGATACCCGGGAACAGCGTCGAAAGGTCAGCATGCAAGATGACGAGGACGACGTTGAGAGGATGACACACCGCGTGACGGCGGTGCCTGAATCTGAGCCCTGGGGCCCTATGTTGCACGTTTTGGACTCCCACGGCGACTATGGAGAAGGAAGTGACGTCAACAACGCAGAAAACGCAGATCGGATGTTGATTTTGCTTTCTTTTGTCAACATCCAATCTGCGTTTGCTGTGTCGTTGACGTCACTTCCTTCTCCCTAGTCGCCATCGGAGTCCAAAACGTGCAACATAGGGCCCAGGGCTTCGGTTCCTTGGAACCGGCAACTTCTACTTTGACTGGGCTACCTCGGAGCCTGATGCTTCGGCCTCAGTGGACCCCAGTTAGCAACAGCTCCATCATTTTCCTGGGGCTTCTTCAAGCACGGATCGAAGGTCGTGCCAGATCCCCATGGCTCGCTGCTGACCCTCATAATTCGCCTCCACAAAATCAGGACTTCTGTGAATCGGGCTGCCATCCTCCCCAATACCAATGACCGATGTAGTCTTCATCTTGCATGTATATACTCATTGCATTATCATGTTCGCTAGATGCGGCACCAGGGGCCTCCATGGTACGGGCTACTGCCTCTCCGCGGTGCCGCAGCTCTCCAGAGCCGAAAAATAAAGACTAAAGACTATCCCCTGTTTGGAGTTTTTGGCGGTCCATGCGCCATAGGGCACGCAACTGCCCAGACAACGCAGATCGTCCCGAGGACGTCCTCAGCTGGTCGAGACGTCTTCGTCCCGACGAAGACGTCGTCGGGACGTTCGGAACTAGTCGGAACATTCTGGTCCCTTCGAAGACGTCATGAAGACGTTTTGAGGTTCCCTAATGAAGACGAAAAACGTCCTCTCCCGAATGATTTTCAATAGTACAAAATGTTTCCATACCGGTTGGTGAAAACGAATCCAGAATGAGTATGAAAATAAGAAATCTTTAAAGGATATTTTTACTGAACATTTTAATTGCGGCGGCCTCGGCGGCCGATATCACCGTAGGCTCGACATCAGCAGCCAGTTGTATCGGCTTCTCCCGAGCGAACGGTTTGTTTCGGGTCCTCACCGCTCAAAGGCTGTGCGCTCCCTACAGGACTCCCCTAGAGTGCCTTCATACACACGCGCGCTTTTGCTTGAGTGGTGACATCTCAGCCATTTTTCCGCCCAATCGCTTTTTGTATGCATTTTGAAGTGCGCGCAATGTGGTGTCACTCAGCTCGAGCGCGTAGCTTTGGCTAATGCATAGACGCCATTTTACCGCCCGAGTCACGCACCAAGTGCGCGAGAGCGTCCCGCGCTGGCACATTCAGAGCAACAATGGATGTCTTCACCCTGAGACAGACAGACATGTAGGCACCCTAGACTCCCCGAGAAATGTTCTGTGCTAACAGATTTTCGCGCTCCGAATCTGCGACCGGGCACTCTATGGCTCCGTCGACAGACTGCCATGCTTTGTAAGTATAGAGGAGGCTATGGCATAGCAATCCCGCAACCGCCCAAAGCGGCAGTGTCACCGAAAGCTATAGCGCTGTTACTTCGGAGCATGCTATGCAGCGCGTACCAGGAGCAGAGCACCATGGCCACGGTAGCCAGCAGTAACGCTCTTCTAAAGGCGCATAAACACAGCTACGTGTGAGAGCGTTTGGGTGTGTTTGACTAGGTTGCGGCTGTGAAAAACCAAGTTCTTCCTGTTTCATATGTAGAGTGCCACTCTGCCCCTTGAATTTAATTCCACGCTTTATACAAAGCCTTGCTGTGCCGGTGAATTGCTTCCGTTTCTCGGCGCAGCTCACTCAAAAGGACTAAAACGCAACGGTGTATGGGCATTAAAACACGCTATTATGCACGGCATTAATTCTTACTGTTCGTCAGAATATGGTTACGGCAGCACTTGCAAGCATCGATCTTTTTCCCGTGTCATCAAGGAAAACTACTGTTCTCATTGATGAGTGTAATGCATAAAACCAAAATATTGATTAGCAGGTAGGTAGGCATTTAATTTGGCTTTTAAGCGCAGGCGCTGCAGAAAGGCATGCAGCCCGTACAATGAATGCCTGCGAGGTCCATCTAGGGGGTGATAATGATAATGCAGTGCGATATAATATGCAGGAGTGATAATGTACATTGAGCCATCACGTAGGATTAGTTTAAGTTTATCGCAGGTGTGTAGCAGCTTCACGAAAAAGCTGTAGAACCTCGGGTCGGTCGATAACCAGCACATTAGTTATTCTTTTTTTTTTTGTTTTGCTGCGTTCAGAAAGTGTTTGTTAACGAAGCCATCAATTGTACTTTTGTTATATGTATGAAATTTAAACAGCCGGAAGTTAGTCAGCCCCAAGGTCGTCTGGTGAATTCGTCGGGGATAAAAGCTATACTTCGTTTCACCGTGTGTTGTACCGCAGCGAAGGATAGAAGCATGAGCTCACAGCGTTGGCAGCTGCCCTTAACGCACGAGAGCTCGTGCCGCCGAAACTGTGCCCTAGGACAAGGAGCTCGCGCTCGTAGCCCTTCCTGCGGTACATCATGAGGTGAAACAGAGTATAGTGCAGTATATAGCTGCTCCTCTGATGTCCTTAACGTGCTTCACGCAATAGCGATGCATGACAACACACCGGTACGATGCTCATCCAGATAAAAACGGGCAGGGGCGTGTGATTGAATCCGCGACGTGGGCTTTGCAGCGCGAGCTTCCGCTACATGTGCTACGAATTCGAGCTCGAGAATTTGAGCTCGAGATAAAAACAACAAGAAAATCTCCGGTTTTAGGTAATTATTCCTAGTGTGGCTATCTCGTTTAACTCGTTGAAAATAAAATTAACTGGGCGAGTTTATTAACGCAAATAGAACAATATTACGCTTTCTCGTCATGATCTTAAGAGTAAGATTAGAGCCATCCCTAGAGCGTACGGTGAAGTGTTCTGTCACGCTTGTCTTCTAAGGATTTTATTTTCAAAAATGTCTCAAAACGCGCTCGAAACAGTCAAAATAGCCATATTTCTTGATTTTATCAAAAATCTCCGGTGCTCTCAAGGAAGAGTTAAAGGGGCGTACGACCTTCATTACACCTTTATAATTAACCTTTAAAATAAAGAATACTCTCGTGAATTCCTGAAACTCGTGTTTGTGCCATCTGCATGTTAATCGAGTATATCATTTTATTTCTATGAGTTAGCAGATAAAAAAAATGTGTATTGTTATACCACTGCATATTTTTAACTATAATTTGAATGCATTCAGAGAAGCAGTTATTCGAAATCTAATAAATAAACTAGCACATTTGATATACGTCTCTTGCATAAACAAAAGAACACTATTTGAACACGACTGGCTCACTGTATATATTGCTTGCACGTGACGCCAGGACGTGCTGGTGGTCATTCGTACTTGTTATTTCCAAGAAAAAACACTTTTTGTGGTGGTAAATGTGTGCCATAAAACGCACGCGCTTAGCAGCGAAACCACCATAATGGCGGTTGACGTTACGTCAGCGTAGGCTGTAAAAAAAGGTAGGCTTACCGAGAAATGCAGACATTTTTCAAGGCTGCAGTTAATTGCTAACGTTAACTTTTATCGACTTTCAAAATTCCTTCTTGACCTTTATAGAATATCTACTGGACCTGCGATATGACCATCAGTGGATACTTTGCTTTGGGGCTCAAGAAACCGTTTCAAGACACCTCCGTGCTCATCATGCCAGCGTATTACCTCGCCCTTGCCAACAAGGAACTGGAAATAGTCGGCCCCAGGCACGCGCGCTTCGTGGCTTCTGGTGTGTTCACAAAAGTCTCCGTGCCGGAATCTGACATCTACACGAATGACGTCACTGACACGCTGAAGAAAAAAACAGTGATTGTTTCTGGAAGGTCACGGATCGCTGGTGAATTTTAAGGAAGAGTCTGGCGATAACGATCGCCCGCCTTAGACGCAATAAACGGGTACTGAAACAAAATTATGTCGCCTTTTTTATTGTGTAAACATGGACGATGTTATGGTAACAGCGCAGAGACACTAGTTTTTGTTCGAAAATACATGAAAACTTTGTTTAAAACAATTGAAACGATTTCTAAATTCCACCTCGTGGATTATCCCCAAGCTACTTAGGATTTCGTTATGCCAATTTTAAGAGCCACTGGCTTCGGGGCAGACATAAACCGTGTACGTGCCGGCCGGAGTCTGGCGCCTGGCCGTTCTGCATCGTGTTGGCAAGAGTTCGTCACCCTGCTGGCCTACTCTTTCGTAATCTTTCGCGCGGCACATGGTTTGCGCCCGGGGGACAGTCGAACGTTCCCTCCTCGAAGTGGACGGTCACCTGAAGAGATCTCTGGATTAAGCTTCTGCGATGGGTCGAATCACGGCGTAAGCACGTCCGACCGCCGATGACTCTGCCTGCGGTTGCCCTGGCTCAGGTCGGTGAGTACGGCGGGCGCTTGTATTCGTGACTTGCTCCACCACAGTTACTTGTTGGTGAAACTTGCTCGGTAATAAGCTCTGTTGGATACCGGGATCATCGTTTTTGGCAAGGCGCTGATGAGTCCGGCGTGGCTACCGCCTTTGCTGGTAGCCGTCGGATGCGCGGTGGGACGGCCCTCGGGATCCCTCTGGGCACAGGGCCCTCAACGTAAAGGTACCTTACTCCCACAAGAAAGACTGCTTCCTAAAATTTCCTCACGCAACAATGCGTACGGTGGGACCTCTGGTCACGAAGAGGTGTAGCATAAGTTCAGTTCCTATTGCCCCATGACGAAGTAGTGCATCTCAGCACTGCCTAGAAACAAAGTCAGCGCTCGCTTGCATTTCACTCAATCGTCTTTGTAAAAGCTCCCGGTTAAACACGGACCTCCAGAGGCCGTAGGGGCATGTCTTGGCTTAGGGGGGCGTAGGATTACGGCCGGCCGCCTCTCACACATTTCTGGCGGCCTGGCTTCCACTCCAGAGTGCAGCATCCCCCTCCCTGCTCAAGGATCGTATAAGAAGTCTATGACATTGACGAGACGATAGAACATGGTGACCTGCCGAGTATACTTCTTCCATTTCCTATCGTAGTTCCTATTTACATGCGGACAAACTCGGGCGCGTCGAGAGCCCCCAATAACGTGCCCCAGCATTTTATCTGTTTTGGTTGGCAGCACATACACTAGTATAAATTTCAGAAATGGTGACGAAGCTAAGCAAGAATCGTAATCTTTTGTACTATCGCTCCTAAATTGAGACTAATATAGCGACACACTCGCAATTTTGTCGACTATCTAGACATACGCAGTCCCGTATTTGATAAGAAGCGAGGCATAGGCCCTGGCGGCTTCCGCCTTAGCGAAGCGATGTTCCCCGATCACAGATAAGACCGGCCAACGTGTCTTCTCTGATGAACACGCCGAGCAATGGCGAAGAAATACTCTATCAAGCAACAGCTCTTCTCAACGGAACTGAAAAAGGTTGAAAGTCTTCAAAATGACTTCTTTATCATTACCGACGAGAATATCAACTGTGATTCCACTCCCCAATAACCATCAAATACGCTGACTTGGAAATGACAGCAAATATAATAACTAAAAAAAAAAAGAGACTGGACGGAGCAAAGAGGCCGGAAACGGTACAAGAGTTCGAGCACCACATCCGGCGGTCCGGCAACGACTGAAAGAACACACACAATCAACGATTTAACCATCGTCATAAAGCCAGTTAATCCAAACGATCTTGAAAAAAAAAAAACTCTAAAAGCTGCATAAGAGACGTAATGGCATCGCTCTAAATGGTCTGATTTAAGTTACACCAAATCATAGCCTTAATCTATTAGCCATCAACAGTCGTAACATTTAACGTCTTTAACGTGCATCACGCAGCAGTAATTAATAAACGACCGCACGCTGGCACGATGCTCATCCAGATTGAAACAAGCAGGGGTGGGGGTTGATGCCCCTCTTGCTGTCGCCTGCATCGGTACGATTCGTGTGCGTATACCAGCCTCATTCAAGGTACTGGGCAGTGGGTGTCATACACGGGGTATCAAAAGGAGCAATTCGTGTGCGTATACCAGCCTCATTCAAGGAACTGGGCAGTGAGTGTCATGCACGGGGTATCAAAAGATATACCAAATGAACACTTGCAGGCTATCTGCAGCACCGCGGAAGGGAAAATCACTCGCTGACTGGGACAAACTGAGGCCGCAAAACATGTTTTTATACAGGAACATCTGCTGAGTATGTCTCCCTTGGACACAATATATTCAAGGTGAGAACCTTTATAGAAAAGCACGTGCAATGCTACAAATGCTTTTAGTTTAGATATAATGGAGGAGCATGCACCAAGCCATAGCGGTGTTCGCGCGGCAGTCGAGAGAAGTGCGATGCAGACAGCCCACAATGTGCGAACTGCGAAAACACCACGAACCGACATCTCCAGAGTGCCCAACATTCAAGAAGTAGAATCAATCATTACAAGCTCAAAAATGAGCCCAAGTCTGACTATGTCTCAGCAATAAATATGACCACAACAGAGCCTACCTTTAGCAAAATCGGTCACAAACAGGGACGACCGCGGTGACAAATGCTCCTCGGTCAGTTCCAGCTGAAGCCGCACGCCATAGCTCAGTCGGTGTAAACACTGGTGTGGATTCTCGATGTGGCACTACAAAAACAACAGATACCTACACCGCTGCACTTGGACAGCGTAAACAAATTTCCGATTCTACCCAATGAAGCCCCCCCAAGCCCTGGGGGGCTATGCTGCGCTTTTTGCACTCCCAGGGGTGCTATGTTGCGCTTTTTGCACTCCCAAGAGACTTGGAAGAGGGAAGTGACGTCAACGACACAGCAAATGCAGATTGGATGTTGACAGTAGAAGACGAAATCAACACCCAATCTGCGTTTGCTGTGTCGTTGACGTCACTTCCCTCTCCCTAGTCTCCTGGGAGTGCAAAAAGCGCAACATAGCCCCCCTGGAGACTAGGGAGAGGGAAGTGACGTCAACGACACAGCAAATGCAGATTGGGTGTTGATTTCGTTTTCTTCTGTCAACATCCAATCTGCATTTGCTGTGTCGTTGACGTCACTTCCCTCTTCCAAGTCTCCTGGGAGTGCAAAAAGCGCAACATAGCACCCCAGGGGTGCTATGTTGCGCTTTTTGCACTCCCAGGAGACTTGGACGAGGGAAGTGACGTCAACGACTAGAGCAAATCAGATTGGATGTTGACAGAAGAAAACAAAATCAACATCCAATCTGCATTTGCTGCGTTGTTGACCTCACTTCCCTCTCCCTAGTCTCCTGGGAGTGCAAAAAGCGCAACATAGCCCCCCAGACGTCTTGCCGACTACAACACCACCGAGCGGGGCCTCTCATTCAACCTGGCATTCGGAAAAGTCTATCACGTCATTCAGAAAGAACACAGCGCAGGCCAAGACACCAGTTAAACAGTCACCGGCTTCCTCCTTTACTACAATGGGGTCGATCATCTTTTCACTTGCTTAGAAACTACTGAGCTTCCTTTAGGCATTGCCTTTCCCATGAAGCCAGACAGCTCAACTCAAGAGCCTGGGCGTACACTCTAAGAAAAAATGGAGAAAAAAGTTAGCAACGGCGCGTCTTCCTCCCTTCTACTGACGCGCCCCCAAGCGGACACGAGAAAAAGGGAGGAACAAAACGTTTTTCTCCTCCAGGCAAACGGGAGAAAGCTTTCGCCCTCCCGACTCATCTTCTTTCGGTTTCGTTTTTCGGGCAGGTCGCGCACATTGTTTAATAAATGCTGTTGAGTTGATTGAGCTTCAGCGGCAGCGAAGGCCGCCTGTAATTCCCTCTTCTAGTCCAAATGTGCAGGACATTTCGGATGCATCGACGTTTTTATCACTAGTTTTATCAAACGAGCAAACGAAGCCGCTAGAAACAGTGAAGTTCCGGAGCGGTGCCAGCAGCGCTGGCAGCGCCACGTACACTCGGTAAGATGGCCGTCTCCGGGTTGCGGGGCTCACGCGGATCGCGTGGAGCTACAGTAGCGAAACCACGCGGAACTGTGGCGACTTTTTCGACGTTATGGAAATCGCAGGAACTGCGTCCAAGACAGGCAGGTTTCGCCGCCGGATGCCTGTGTGCCTTCCGTGCTGAGTTCGGTTCTGGTTTCCGATGCCGAGTGCGACCGGCGTTCAACGTGGTTCTGTATTTCTGCGTGTCAGCAACATAGCGGCATTATCGTGATGGCAGCGTTGTGGGTTGTGAACAGAAGACTGGAATTATCGCTGATGTGACCATGTGTTCGCGTATCAGTGGTGTAACAACAAAATGAGATGACGTAAACTCTCAGTCATTGATGCCGCTGTTCGGACCGTGATCGGAGGGGACGGGGTGTCGCAAGTTGACATTCCGTTTTACATAAAAAAGTTTAATCCCATTTGAGGGACTAGGTGCAATCGGTCGACGTGCGGATAGTCATGTTGGAACGCTGGTCTGAACAGTAAGCTCCTATCGTACAGTGGCCAATGTGACTGTCGGTTGTCTCGTCCCCGAGAGCGATTGCGCCCTAGGGAAAAGACTGAACAGTACGAAATCGTGACGGAAAGTACGTATATTTACAGTGTGGAATTTTGGCATTAAAAAAGAATAATAGCTAAAATAAAAAAAGCTACCCTTTATTTTGCTGTTTAAACATACTACGGTTCCTGGAGAAACTGCCCTCCAAGTGGCGCGCTGGGATGAGCGCTAGAAGTTTTCGAGCTCGCCACGGCGTAGCTCCGTACACTTAACACCTGCCGCAAGTGGCGGCTTTGAGTACATTCAAGTTGATCGAAAATCGATTTCTCAGCCCGTGAAGCATCACTTCCAGCTGAGTAAATATCCCCTCTACAAAGATTAATTCAAGACGGCAATTGCAGCCTTGCGCGAACAGCACAAATAGAAAAACAAACACTACAATATAAATACAGGCTACGAAGTGCCGTGGGGGGAAACAAGCTCATGGTTTCG